CAGTATTTGGGGGACAGAAAGAAATGAAATTTTACAGAAAAACGTAAAGCTGTGCAGGTTAAAAAAGGGGAGGGGGGTTGACGCGGTATAGATCTTTGTCATCCCATCCCTAAGACTGTAAGATAATTTGAGCAGGGCTATCCCCATCCCTTTTTCCTGTATGTCAAACCTTTTGGCATTTACATGTGTTCCTGTTACACGCCTCCTTTTGTACAGCGCTGCATCGCATGTTGGTGCTTTCTAAAAAAAACTATCCCATCAGGGGTGTACTGAAGTAGACTGGTTACCATAACTTGCATTTTAATCATTTTGTTTGTATCTCGTGGGAGGAACAATTGATTACCTCACCGCATTCAGGTTTATTTTGCTGGAGAAATTACATAACTAGCTCGTGCAGTTTTCAGGTCAAGATGAGTTATTTACTCAAGTGAATGAGTGAAGAATTATAATTTTTTTTTTTTAATTGTCTGGATTGGGGATTATAGTTCACACTGTTATTATAGTATCTGGGGTTTATTAGCTTAACACCGAACTGTAGTGAATTAAAAACTGTATTTCAAAATTCAGGCTAAAATATTCATGCTGCAAATTTTGTGAGTTGGACAATTTTTGCCAAGCATTTTTTTTTCTTTTTTCAGTTCTTAATTCTCTATAATTCGATTTTCTGTAAACGACCCCCATTGGATTCCAAGTAATCAGAGCTTGCTGTTTGGTGAACAGATCCCGATGTGCTTTGTTGATACTGTATACTGAACACTTTTTATGATGCTGAGAATTGTTTCTGGTTTTTTTTAAAGATCATTTCAGACATGGATAAATATTTGGAAAATAACAGAAATATTTGGCACGCTGCATAAAACTTCTTTATCAGTTTAAATATTTTGTTGTTCGCTGTTCTCACTGCACATAACCTTAACACGTTAATATTTAAAGTTTTTCCAACCATCATGACCACTTCAGTGATTTGAAGTGGCTATGGTGTTAGGAGTATGTATGTGCAATGTTTCTGCTTGAAGTTATTGTTAATTGTGTGCCGGGTTGCCAATGTTAATTTTAAGTTATCTTGTTTTTTTTGTTTGTTTTTTTTAAAACATCCCTTTACCTCCTGTTCCCTTCCCTTTGCCGGCCCAGAGCGCACGCCTGCGGACTGAGCCAGTGAAAAGGTCCAATCTCTTGTGAGTGGACTGCACAAGGACCTGTGATGTTGAAGAGTGTGGAGTAAAACTGTCCTGTCAGTCTTCTTTCCTTGCAGCAGCTGTGTTTGCTCTCACAGTACAATTACTTGAACAGCTAGATTTCCTTTCAGCGGTCGCAGGGGTCGCAGCTGCGACCAGGCCCGTCACTCCAGGGACCCTTGCGACCCCTGCGACCGGGTACCAACTGCCACATTTTGCGGCCCCAGCGTGCGTGGCAAACCGCCGGGGCCGCATGTTAAGGGGTCCATCGGATGGCCCATGGTGGCCACCTGATGGATATGGATTGTCAGGGGTCCCTGTCTGCGCTGGGCACTTTAACAGTGCGACTTGGCCCCCTGTGATTACATCACTGCTGGGAGGAAGTGACTGCACGTCACTCCTCCCAGCTATCAGAGGCCGCGCGGGAGGAATCAGGAAGGAGGAGGGAGTCAGAGTGGGAACTCTGACTCCCATCAGGCTGAGCCCCCACTGGACCCCAGGGAAAGTCTCAAAAGGTAGGAAACATTTTGTATGTGTGTGTGTCTCTGTATGTATGTGTGTCTGTGTGTCGGGGGGGGGGGGCCCATGGATCGGATGAAGATAAAAATGATAAAACTGACATGAATTTTGGCAGCATGACCAGTGCAGTAACCCGTCATGGAAAAAAAAATAGAGACATCATGATGATCACATAAAATTTGTGTTTTCAGTCAGGGCTGTTAAGGTGTGAGATTCACATTCAAATAGAGCTGTTTATGCTGGATTCAATAAAAACAGCATAAACCTGTCAAGCCAATACACACAGAAAGCGTTATAAAAATAATAATAATAATAATAGATATCTGAGATAATGTTAATCCAGATACTTTGTTTTTACTTTACTGAAACACAATGGCTGAGGGTGATAGGATTTACTAATCTAAGCCATTGGAATGGGCGAATATTTTTCCCAATTTGCTCGTTCATTGTTCTAAGAGTCACAGGTAGAGAAACTGAAGACAGGGACTGTTTCTATATTCTAATGTAAAAACTCCAATTGCGGCTGTTGTGCATATTAATTGGATTATAATATTTTGCACAGTAAGGTCCATTCATTAAACTAGGGATTGTCAAGGGATGTAACAAACTAGCTGAGCCAGTCTGAAAATTGGAACATTTTTACCAGTTGCTATTTTGCTAAATATTAACCATGTGTGCCGGACTTATATTATCTATATAAAAGGGATTATATCACACCGGCACCGTACAATCATATAGAAAAACTCAAAGTTTATTTTACAGACGCCACAATCTGTTTCTTTTCATTTTCTTAGAATCCTGTCTCAACTTCTGCTTCACTGTCAAACCATGACGGCAAGCCAGGCGAGAAACTTGGCCATATTGTTTAAAAAATGCACAATCTGTTTGTTGCTAAACCAATCTGCCTTAATATACATATTTGAATTCCATCTGTCTCTGAGTTTAACTTTAAATGGATCTTTTTCATTGGGCATTTCTTACAGGGACAGGTGATAAATATCTGCTTAAAGCAATGTAACCACTACAGGTGAACGGACTGACTGCTTACCTGGGGTGTGATGGGCGCCACCTCCCGCCTCCACTACTAATGCTGGCAAACTGGACGTTCCTAAGCAGAAACTTCTGTTAGCTCTTATGGGCTAAGCCGTACAATGCAGGGCTTAGCTCATTGGCTAAGGGCATCCGCCAATCACTTAGGAACTGCTGGCTCTACAGCATTAGAAGTAGTCGCAGGGAGCAGTGCCCAGCGAGCCCCAAGTAAGATTTCAAACCATTCTAAAACAGTTTAAACTCTTATACTAGGATTGCGGGGGCACTTCTGGCACAATGACCACTGTAGCAATCTGCAGTGGTTATGGTGCTCTGAATTTTTATTTAAGGCAGCGTTCTATTATCATCCAATATCCATCAATTACTGTCTAGCTGTTATCAGTAAACGCATTTAAATAAATATCTTACAGTTGGTCTTCTCCGCAGGATATAGTTTCCTCCACGTTAGTGCTGCTATTCCAGATTTTACAAATGATAACAAACAACCATTATAACCATCTATGTAAACGCACTCCAATCAACATTGCAAAAAAACAACAACAAAAATAACCTTACCTTATATTATTTTATATTGATTTATTCTACTCTTTTATTCATGACAAAATAGGCAAATGGGGAAAAATTCTCCAAATCAGCGATTAGTAATCAGGTGGTAATGACAAATTCAATTCTGACCTACAGGAAGTCCAATGTAAAAATGTGGTTTCGTTTTGGTTATTTTTTTGGGTGGAGTGTACGTAGAGTAAATGTAAAAAAGGGGTGTCGCTAAAATGACTAAAGTGTAGTAAGTCGTCCACTGTGGGAGGAAGTCGAGGTCACTGCAAGTCCATCAGCCCTCTATTCCGCTGCTTGGAATTACATGTAAAGTAAACCTGCCAAGTCATTCAGGTCAATTTACTAAAAAAACTGAGAATTCAATGTGAATTTCAAATCTAAATGTTTACACCAACCATTATAACCACTACAGCCTGCTGTAGTGGTTATGGTGCGAGGAGTACTCTGGCATCGATCCCCAGTAATAGGGGAAGAACATTTTCCAACTGTTTGTGTTCTTGGATCGAAATTAGCACAGAATTAACAATAGCCAACACAGAACTCTGATGACAACCGAATGATGCCGCCGTAGGTGGAGTTACATCTGCGTCAGCAGAGGGGATAAACTCGGTATGTGCAGCATTTCACATTAGTGGTTGTGGTCACAGGAGTAATCTATGTCAGGTATCCTCTGCGATTTAATTTTGGAAACTTGAAAATGATTTACTGAATTTGAAAATTAGAAAATAACACTGACACCGTGCATGTTTAAAACATCCACTTTGTTTTGAATGTCTTTTAAAAATCACAGCGTAGTACAGGCAGAAGGGGGAACTGAAAGTGGATGATTCCATTGCATGCAAACTTTTTTTAGAACTTTCTTTATCTTTGTATCTGTAACTGTCACTTCCAAAGACGCAGAGTAAATGTTACATTCTTTTCAAAATGTTCATACTTATTATATTTTAGTTATTTATAGGACTTTGCGACTACATTGATTTTAACAATATGCTTTCCAATGATCAGAGATTTTGCACAGAGATGGTGTTTCGTGTGAGATGATTGAAAGAAACTGCGATTTTTGGTTTCAGTAATGACTCACACTCTCTATAAGGTAAAATAAAAGAGAGTTCGATACTGACGAAAGAGAGAGGGTTTGGTTTTGTGTTGGTGTCCATTGTCCGATGTCCTTAAATATCCCGCACCGAACTTGTCTAGCAAATCAGGAACCAAAATTATTCTTTCCTACGTCCTAACATTTCAAAAGAAAAAAGAGGGACACTTTCATTTTCCGGACGTAAAAAAAATCCTTTCTTGGGGGGCGGGGCCGGACCGCCGAGCTGGACGGTTGCAAACTTGAGCTGCTCCTGCAAAATATCGACAAATACTCTGAAAAACCATGTATTACTGCCTTCCAACTGACCACCAGCGACAGTGCCCAGAGCGCAGAGACTGCTGGACCCTGGGAGAGGCTGGCTCACCGAGCTACAGTCCCCGGGAGGAGATATCCTCGTTGCCACGGGGCCTTCTCCGGCGGTGAGTGGGGCGGACGGCCGCTGCCCCACTGTCCTGCACCACAGTACCCAGCTTGAGGCACAAATCCAGGTGGATCCGGACCTGTCCCCCCCCCCCCGGACCGGTGGGGGTGATCCCGGTCCTCACCCTGGGGCCCTATTCAAGACTACACACATGGAGCCAGGGGACCCGAGAGTGGCTCTCAAGATGGCGGGCACCATGTGCGCGGGAGGTATGGAGAAATCCTGCACCATTTCCGAACCCACGGCACACAACGGGATTCCGTCACCCCGACCTGGCAACAGGGAGGAGCGGATAAACCACCACCTACTCCTGCAGCCACATAGGCCGAAAATTAGCGGTACAAGAGACCCTGATGAGCGGCTCATGGCGAAAGCTTTAGGGGAACGGAACATCGCATCACGATCACTCCCGCCGTGGACATCGGGGCTTGCCGCCAAGCGAGCTACCCTCACACAAGGACTCTCCTCGCACTCACCTGCCACCCAGCTTGCACTACCACTACCCAGACAACAGCACAATCAAGCGGCAGACGCCGAGATACCGGCGGGGTATGACACCAACCCGAGGACGATCGACAGTGGCAGGCTCCACAATGAGCGGCTGATACCCAAGAGACTCCGGCGAGGACCCTACAGTACAGCATGGATAGACTATACCATGATGCCTGCTCTGAGGGACATTCACTCCATGCTAAATGAAAGTAGCAGAGCAGGTATCGGATAATTACGGGACTCCCCCTGTCTATGTGGGCTCGAGACCACCCTGAAGCCAGCCCTTTCCCATGGAGAGAGCCCGGAGCACCCCCTCGATACACCCGGGTGAAAACTATCAAAGCGACCTACTCAGACCTCATCTATGATTTGTAATGTATGTTGTTTAGCATAGCAACCCTGTGTACACAAAACCTACATGGCACTCATGAGCACACACTCATATAGGTATTGCTGACATACTAGCAACGCACAACACACTGCAACCACAATGCAGCATATCATACGAAGTCACATGTAATCATCCAAGCGAGAACCTGCATACCTGCCAAGGGGTCCAAGCTATAAACACCTCAATGTGACACTGAGCGAGATCATCCTTGACAAGTACACATTTAGCCTAGCATGTACACTGCATATCACAAATGTCTTATAGCTTGATATCTTCATGAAAAAATAAAAACTGTGCTGTTTAACCTGCCACGAAATGTAACCCTTTGAAACTGCTTGCAGCGGCTGTCGTGGCTCTGCATGCTTGCTGTCATTTCATGCACAAATAAAATAAAGAAAAAAAAAAAAAAAATCCTTTCTTACCTTCTTAGAATTCAACATTCTTCTAAATTTTTTTATTTTTTTTAACTTAAAAAATAAACCAAAAATAATCCGTTATAAACCGACGCAGCTAATAAAAATACAAAAGACACGAATCACAAGAAAAAAGCAATGAAAACATAAACATCACAAGGCATCAACCCCTTAAGGACACATGACATGTGTGACATGTCATGATTCCCTTTTATTCCAGAAGTTTGGTCCTTAAAGCGGCACTGTCATGGCCGAATCCCGTTTTTTTTTAAATCCGCCTCCACTATCTCTAATTGACCCCCTAGTCACTCCCAAATGCCCCTAAGCCCCCCATATTACCTATTTTTTAATCTTTATTTTCTGCCCCGATCTTGATTCAGGGCGCCGCCATCTTTGTGTGGGTAGATGAAGTCCCTGTGGGACACGTCATCAGCCCACACTAGATAGACTGTGAGATTCCTGCACATGCCCAGTGAAACACTTGGGCATGTGAACGGGAATTTCATCTATTCATTCATTCATTAGAAAGACGAATGAATGAATAGAAATGTCATACGAACAAACAAACACTGAATATCAGTGTTCGTTTGTTCTTTTAGTTTATTACAAGGAGAGAGCTACCGGCACGCAGCTCCCTCCTTGTAATATGTAAAGATAGAAGCGGCAGGGAGCAGTGCTCCCCGCCACTTCATAAGCCCCCAAGGTCCCCCCTCACTCTATGGGGGTCAATATGACCCCCATAATAGCATAAGGGAGATTAAAAGCCTGTGGCTTCTCACTGTTTAAAAAAAGAAAACTACTATCTGGCCCCCACCCCTGAGCGGTGGGTGGGGGCTCTAAAAAACAAGGGGGGGGACCCCTACTGTCCTCCCCCCTGGCCCCCACCCGTGAGCGGCAGGTGGGGGCCCTAAATAAAAATTCACCCCCCCCCTAATCAAGGTAACTAGGGGTCCCAAGCCCCTAGTCACCCCCCCACCCAAATAAAACTATCCCCAACTACCCCCCTCACCCTAAAAATAGTGAGGGGGAAATAAAATAACTAACCTGTAAACAAAAATTGGTTTAAGCCAATCAGAGTGCTCTTTGTCATTTTACACAGCGTGGGAAAATTCCAAAGAACTTTCCCACGCTGTGTAAAATGACACAGAGCTCCACAGCAATAATACTCACAGTAATGTGTCTGAGTGTATAACGGAGCTCCACAGCAATAATACTCCCAGTAATGTATCTGAGTGTATAACAGAGTCCCACAGTAATAATACTCCCAGTAATGTGTCTGAGTGTATAACAGAGCTCCACAGCAATAATACTCCCAGTAATGTGTCTGAGTGTATAACAGAGCTCCACAGCAATAATACTCCCAGTAATGTGTCTGAGTGTATAACAGAGCTCCACAGCAATAATACTCCCAGTAATGTGTCTGAGTGTATAACAGAGCTCCACAGCAATAATACTCCCAGTAATGTGTGTGAGTGTATAACAGAGCTCCACAGCAATAATACTCCCAGTAATGTGTCTGAGTGTATAACAGAGCTCCACAGCAATAATACTCCCAGTAATGTGTCTGAGTGTATAACAGAGCTCCACAGCAATAATACTCCCAGTAATGTGTCTGAGTGTATAACAGAGCTCCACAGCAATAATACTCCCAGTAATGTGTCTGAGTGTATAACAGAGCTCCACAGCAATAATACTCCCAGTAATGTGTCTGAGTATATAACAGAGCCCCACAGCAATAATACTCCCAGTAATGTGTCTGAGTGTATAACAGAGCTCCACAGCAATAATACTCCCAGTAATGTGTCTTTAAACTACAATAAATGTGTTTAGAAATCAGTCTGTGGAAATAAGATCTGTTAACTTGGAGAGTTGAACATCCAGCTTTTTTTTACGTTCTCTGCGTAATCAGAATTTTGTGTGCTTTGCAAGTCAGCTAAGCTCTCAGTTCGGCTACTCTGACCTGAAATGTGAAGTTGACTTTGAATTCTAAGCTTGCGTCACTTTATAGGCCATGTTCATGTCTCCCAGTTGTTCCTCATTATCGCGGTTACTTCCTCTGTGGGCCCAGTTTCCTCTCTCCATGTTTTCTGGTCTTGTGTTCCTCTTTTCTTTGAATTCAGAATTGTAGCTGTTTACAGATGTCTAAAAGTACACAGGAAACCATAACAGTGATAGTAAAGTGTGTTTTAACTGCACTCAAAGTGTTATTTATATAGCTGGTGTAAATAGTACAGTAATCTGGTTTTCAATTATATTTTTTATGAACATAAGAAGGCTTCTAGGATGGGTATGCCGGCACACGCATTTCAGAGGTTCGGGAGATGGGAATCAGGGCGTTTTGTCTCATATGTTCGTCCTGCCGGTCTCCTGAATTGAGGTTTCTCTCTGCTGCTTTGACTCCCCCCAGGGTTTGGGTGATCGTGCACTCTTCTGTATTCTGGGCCAGCAGGCATGCAGTTGGTGAGCTATTGGGTTTTTATGCCTTCTGAAGCGGAGGTTCGTTGGTTAGTTGGTATGAAATGGGTTCGACTCCTCACGGAGCAGGTTCAGCTGTCCCGCCTTCGGGGGTCACAAGTGTTTGGGTTATTAACCTTGGGGGAGGGAGGGAGCAATGATCTTGGGACAATGCCAATGTGGGGTTTGGCGTCTGCCCTTAAGAGGGACTTGGTGTGCATTTTAGTTCTGTTTCCTGACATGTGACTCATTTGGTCGGAGATCATTTCCCGTATTTTCTGGCAGCGGGCCCATAATCAGAGAGCCATGGAACGCTGCCATATGAAGCTAAATTGGAGGGTCTCTAGGTTTGTTTGGGGGTAAAGGGATTCCGGATCGCCACGGGGTGTTTCGCACGGGAGGCAGCTAATGTGTTTCTGGGTGATGGAGTTCACCTCATGGAGAACAGACTTGACCTTTTTAATCTTGCCATACAGGAAGCAGTGGAACAGGCCTTGGGTGGTTTGGGTGGTGCCCCCTGCTGATTTAAGGCTTAAAACAGCAGGGTTGTGGCGGGGGGCGTGTCCTTGCCAATAGGTTTTGTGGGCTATTACATGGAGTATCAGGATATGGACAAGGTCGGGTCTCTACCTCCCCTGCTCTGTAGGGTAAACTTTTAAGTAACCGACTTGGACGTGCGCACCGAGCTAAAAGCCGGCTGCTGGTATGCATTGAAAGAAAAGGGAATTTGGTTTGGATGAGGGAGGAGGTGAGAACCCTGTGGGCAAGTTGGTGCATAGGCAAGTGGTCTCTTTCATTGGCAAGGACGTTTATGTAAGCTAAGTCTTTAGGGCACTAGGTGTTAATAATTATATGTTAAGTTATAGAATATTTATGTATTTATCTCTGGTTATAAATAAATGATAAAGTTTAATAAATGTTGGATGAGTCCTACAGTCTTATGTTTTAATAAATGCTGTGGCCTGTGTGGTGAAAGTAACCTCACCACTAGTTTTTGGAAGGGCCTGTTTGCCAGCCTCCTACCCTGTGATTATGGCCCCTGTGTTAAACCCTGGTTGAAACCACTGTTTTGTGCCTTTTGGACTTATAACAGGAACACTTCGAACTCTCAAAGCAGCACTTCAAACTCCCGAACAGTTGAAGTGGTTTGAAGCGGCATTCGAACACGTGGCGGCAGCCATCTTTAGCCGCGAGTACAATGAGCAGTGTTTGGTCGTCGAGTTCATGGAACTCAAATTGGACACGCGAAGGTACAAACACTGCTAACTATTTAACTTCCATGGATGTTCAGCTATTCGAACAGGAGTCGAACGGCGTTCGGTAAGAATAAATTCCCAAACAAGAGACATACATTGACTTTACTCATGAACGGCTACGTTCAGTATTTTGAACTTTATTTAGAATTTCCGAAATAGACCGACCACACAGCCTGATTATCTGGAACTGTTTTGGGCATGGGACCGTGCGTGCAGTCGGTCAAAATGTGACTTCCAAAGAATTCCTGAACCCCTGGGGGTTATCAGAGGATGTGACATTTGTTGTGATTTTATGTGTTTTTGGGGTACTTTGTTTTTTTTTTTTTTAAATATGTGTTTTTTCTGCCTGGATATAATTGAGCTAATACAGTATCTGACTCAATTATCTCCTAGGCAGAGAGGAGGTATTGTATGCTATGTGTGGGAGTGTCGTGCAGTCGAATACTGTTCTTATTGGTCTGTGAATATTGTAACTCAGTTCCCCATGTTGACGTACCCCTTGCATGGGGATTGTCGTATAAAGCCAAGTGTGGCACCATTAAAATCAGTTCCTCTTCACCCTCAACATGGAGCCTCATCTCATGTGTGGAGGAGACAGCTATATCCACTCTCGGGATTACTATACTCCCTATACTCCCTGGAATTATAATCACTAGCTCTTATAAGAGCTGTTCCTGCTATACTCTCTGGAGTAGGAGAGGTTCACCCACTGGAAGCT